TACTTCATAAAAGATGCCCACATCTTAGACTAATAGAACATGAGTTAAACATTACAGCCCTTGGCAGATTAGCATAGCATAAGTTTCATCTTGTACGGAGAACCTTGGGTTAGTGTTTCCTTGCAAAGGAAACCTTCTATCCAGTTAAATAGCACGTATACAGCTCGGTATAACTTTAGTGCATTGGCGTAGAGTCTTGTTAATCCTTTCGGTTGACTATGGATATGTACAGATGCCATATATATCTTTTATTTAGAATAAAATGATATATTGTTTTAAAAAAAAAAAGAAAAAAGAAAAATGAAAAATAAAAAAAAAAGAAAAATAAGTGGTAATAAATAAATGTGAACATTCGTTTTCGAATGAATCATTTATTGGTGGTAAATAAAGTGGTAGGTTTAATTTTTGGTTAGATAATAGTGGTAGGGTATGATGAATTTAAGGTATAATTTCATCATCTAGTTTAATGGTAAAAATGTTAGTAACATTGCATTAAAATCAACATAAAGTGGTATACTATTTGGTTGTAAGCCAAATGGTTCTGGAATTGTGAATTTTGGTTCTAATATTCCTTTTTCGATGTTGATTTTAATAATGTTTTGTTTGGATGATTTTTTAGGAAAATATTTCTTGTCAAATCATATGTGAATGTTGTGGTAGTATTATCTTTGGTTCTGTTTACCTTAGATGCACCAGTGTAGTTTTAGATTATACTGGTTATGTTGTGATGTGGTGTAATTTTTGTTTCAAAAAAAAGGATTTATTCATTATTATTAATAATATTTTTTAAAAATTTTTTTTGAAAATTTGTGTTTAATTTATATGATGATTTTGGATGGTAATTTTTGTTTTAATAGTTCTGGTTTTTTAGTATGCTAAAAGTGTTATTTGGGTGACCAGACTTATTAAATTTTGGAATACATTTTAGGTATTCTGGATAAGTATTTTAAAGAGTATTTAGTGAATAAAATGGATTTTGAGCAGAATGTTGATTATTTTGTAGTGGAATAATGCAATTATTAGTATCCAAGTTATCATCACCATTATTTTTATTATAATTTTTTTAAATTTTGTTTGTGAATGAATAAATAAAAGAGATACACCGATCAACTAGTGAGATCTCAATTAGATTTCGTCTACTTAAAAAAGTTTTAAAAAATCAAAGAAAATTTTGGATTTATTTAAAACAGTTAATGAAAGTGTATGTGGTGATGTATGTGGTGATATATGTAGATTATATAAAAATCAACAAAAGTGTGTAAAAATAAAATGAATTGTATAAAAAGTGATAAATATCATTAAAAAAATGAATGATGTTGTAATTAGTGGTAATTAATTATAGTTAAAGATATGGTAATAATAACTATAATAAAAAAGTGTTGATACACCAGTAGTATGTAAATTTTGTGTATAAAAGCCCGGCTAGCTCAGTCGGTAGAGCGCAAGACTCTTAATCTTGTGGTCGGGGGTTCGAGCCCCCCGTTGGGCGAATTTTTTTTACCCCACAAACTGATCATATCTTCCCGGTGTTTTCTTTTTTTTATATACCACTCCTTTTGCAGACTTGCAGCAGCAGCAGCTTCATCATCATCATCATCATCATTCAGTTTAAATGATAGTAATAGTAACTATAATTCACAACAACAGTAGCATTAACATTCAATTTAAAAAATAGTTATAGTAAAAGTAACAACAATACAACAACAGAAGCACCAGAACCTACAACATTCAGTTTAAAAAATAGTAATAATAACTATAATTTAAATAGTATTGGTGAATATAGTGAATATTATATGCAAAGTGATCTGTATTCAGAAGAGATGGAGGAGCTGATATTTAAATTAGAAAAATGTCGTCAAATTTTCTCGAAGCTGCCTTACTGATAGAGACTCGGAAAAATTAAAAAATCAATCAAATCTGTTATTGTATATTTAAAACAATACGAAATGGTTTTACACTCAATAATTAAAAGTATTATAGCTCAGTCAATAAACTGGTTTAACATTTATCTAAATTTAAAAAACAATTTATTATTTAATATTTATTTTTTAATTTATAAAAATTCTTTTTTTTAAAATTAATTTTTTTTTTTTAAAACTATAAATGGAAACTATAATATTTGATCAATGACACTTTTTTTTTTAAGTTCGGACCCCCATTAGTTTTTTAATTTATTTTTTATTTTTTTTTAATTTTTTATTTTTTATTTTTTATAAATTTTTGTTACCCCTACTGACACAACATGTTATTTTTTATATTTTTTTTTTATTATTTAAAATTTTAATTTATTTTTTTTCATTATTATTGATATTTTTTTTTTTTAATAATCATTTATAAAATTTTAATATTAATAACTTCAATAATAATAAATTTTTTTTATTTAAAATAACTACATTATATATTCATAATAATCGAAATGAAACAAAAAATAGTGGCTTTAATTTTAAAAATTATAACCTATTTTTTAGCTTTTTTATTACTTTCCCTCATTTCATATATAGTGTTCTCAATTATAAAGTTCATTTATTATATAATTTATTATTCAATTTATGGAGTAATTTTTATTTTATTTTTATTTTCCATTCTTATGATAGGTGTTCATATAGAAGACCTCATAAGATTATTTTTAATTATTTGTAAAGATGTAGTTTCCATTTTTATAAATTCAATTATTAAAAATAAAAATAGTAATCAAAATAATAATAACAATAATAGTAAAAAAAAAAAAATTAATAATCAAGAGTTCCAAAAAGAAAAAGATCACATTAATTATGATACTGATGAAGATTATCATTATGATCCAAAAGAGATAATTTATGATCAAGATCTTGGCTACAGAGCAATTGATGAAGTTTAAGAGAAGCCGCAAAGATAATATACGATACCGATAAAGGCTATGAAAAATTACCTAAAAGGAACTTCATATATACATTAACGAAACGAAAAAATAATAAAAAAAAGTTATTGTTATTTATTTTAAATATTCTAAAAGGGGTTGTATATTTTCTTTTTTTTTTTTTAATTTAATTATTTTTTTCATTGTTATTACAAAAAAATAAAATTTAAAAAAAATTAAAATAATTTTATTTTTTAATTATTAAATTCTTTTTTTTGTTTGGGGTTATAATTTATTTAATTTTTAAATTAATATAATATAAAAATGTGTGTTTGTTTAATTTTTTATATCCATCTTGAATTGAAAATCATTTCCTAAATTTAGATTTGTATAAAAAAAAATATTTTTTTTATTCATAATAAAATATATTTATTAAAAAGATAAAAATTTATATTATAAAATGTCAATTATTAGTAAATATTTATAAAACTAAATTTTAAAGTATAATAATATATATTAACTTTTATATTAATTTATTATATTTTTAATATAGAATCTATTTCATTGATGAACCCAGTTAATCTCATCTGGAAGTATATCATTCTCTGATAATAAATCTGCTTGGTTTGGTAATAGATTAGGTGGCGATTCATGATGTTTCAATCCATGTTTTAATTCATGAGGTGGTGGTAACATTATTTTTTTTGTTTTTAAAAATTATTTTAAATATTTTTTTCATTTTTTCATTTTTTCATTGTTTATTTTGCATTATCGAAAATAAAAATAAAAAAAAACTATGCATTTTGGTTCCGCTTATGATGTGTAATGAACAAGGATCATTACCTAATAATAACCAACAACAATTAATAATCAACAATTATTTTAATTTATGAAAAAAAGAAATTTTAAAAAATATAAAAACTTTGAATTTTATAAAACATAAACAATTTCATATAAACTTTATTTTATTTAATTATTTGATCTTGGTACCTAACAATATAAATTGCTTTGTAATCATCACACGATGTTATTTATTTAAATATAATTTTATCTATTTTAATGTGAATTCTGATTTTGAAGATTTGATCTTTTATATTGACTAAATACTGTTGTATAAAGGACACCTATTAATTGTGATATGTAATATTAACAGAATCTGGTATTGCATTTTCTGATATTAAACATTTCATATTTTTATTTTCAAACGTAATGTTTTTAATGCATTGTGGTATAGTTCCTGGAATAATAGTTTGTTCAAAAGCTTCACCTAAAATCAAAGTCTCGAGGAATGGAGGTAAATGAGATTCTAAAATTGGTTGGTTAAACCCATATATTTCTAGGTGCTTTACAGAGTCAGGAAAAACTAGACTATTTAATGGTTGGTTAAAATAGGTTCCTATTGTTATTTTCTGTAAACTTGATGGGAAGGAATTGGCTGCTAGTGGTTGGTTAAAGGTACCACAAAAATAGATATTTTCGACACCAAATGGGATAACGCCAGGCTCTATTGGCTGGTTAAATAAAACTTGGAAATAAAGTGATTTCACACTTGAAGGAATTACTTGATGTGGTATGGGTCTATTAAAATATCTTCCGAATTTGAGTAATGTTACACTTGGTGGAATTACATTTGGTAGAATTAAATGTTCGTATTTTGAACCAAAAATTGTTAAATTTGTAACTGAAGACGGAATAACACCAGGTAACAGCACTTTATTATAACTATTATCAAACTCCAATGTGTGGACACTGGATGGGATGTCATTGATTTGAAGCACTTGATCGAAATAATAACCAAGTTTAAGAGTTTTTACATTACGCGGAATTGATTCGCCGGGTATAAATGGCTGGTTATACGAAGCTCCAAATGAAAGAGATGTGATACTATCTGGCAAATCACCTTTTTTTAGTTGTTTATCAAAGCTCCATCCTAAACAAAGATCTTCGACACCATTTGGTATATCAAATGGCTTTAGATCCTGATCAAAATTTTCAAATTCGAGTTTTTTTACAGATTCTGGAATTATACCTGGACACAAGGGATATTTGTATGGACCTGATAGTATAAGGGTGAGCAAACTGGGGGGCAATGAACCAACAAAGAGCTCTTGATCAAAACCAGTGCCTAAATCTAAAAATTGGAGACCATCTGGTAAATCATTTGGTAATATGGTTTTATTGAAATTTTTTCCAACCGATAAATTCTTTAAAGAGGGCGGGAGAAGACCTGTTAGACTATATTCGGTTCGAAATGATAGTTCTTCTAAATATGGGGGAAGGTCACCTTTCTTTAACACCAAATCAGAATTTGGTCCCAAAATAAGAACCTTTACAGATGATGGAATTACTTTATTTGAGAATAGAGGGCTGTTATCCTCAGACCAAAGCTTGAGATAAGTGACACTTGATGGAATACTTCCTGGTTTAATATGTTTGCTAAATGCGGTTTGGTGAAAAAATAAATATTGAACACTATCTGGAATAACACCTTTTTCAAACTCTGGATCCCTATCTGTCGAATACTCTTGACCAAATTCTAACTCTTCAATAGAATTGCCAAGCTCGCCTATAGACAGATCTTCTTTGAAATCTATTGTTAAATCTACTATATAATCTTTATATTTGAAATCTAGGTAATCTTGTTTTATAGTGAATGTTTTTTTATAATTTTCTTTATATAACTGTAAATGATTAAATATAATATTTCTTAAATATTTATTTCTAAAAATTAAATTTAAAAAAATATCATGGTTATTATTATTTATCATTTTATTATAGCAAAAAAAAATAAAAAGAAAAAAAGAAAAAGTTTACAATCTGAAAAAAAAAAATTTTTAAAAATCTTTTTATTTCTAATTTTTTTTTTTTTTTTTTTTTTTTTTTTATAAAATAAATAATTAGAAATAATATAAAATAATAATATAATAAACTATATAGTTATTTATTTATATTTATATTTATTATTTTTTTATTTTTATTATTTTTTTTTTTTTTTTTTTTTTTTTTTTTATTTTTTTTATTTTTTTATTTTTTTATTTTTTTTTATTTTCATTTTTAATATTTTCATAAATAGATTTCATTCATAATGTAAAAGTTTTATAAATTTAAAACCAATATTATTTATAAACTCATTACAATTATTTATTATTAATAATGAATAGTAGTCAGAATGATGACTATTATTATAATGAAGATGATGACGAAGATTTTTACTATTCAATAAATCAAAAAAAAGATCAAGGTGTTACAAACGAACGAGATTTCGAAACTAGTAGCAATAGTGGAGATATTGAAAAAAAAGAAGATGAAAGACTGGAGGAGGAAGAGGAGGAAGAGGAAGAAAAACCTGTATTGGTAAGTGAAGATTCGACATGTCCAATTTGCTTGGGTCCATTTGATGACCTAACATTTTTGGATATTTGTTTTCGTAAGTATAACAAAATATAAATTTAGTAATTTCACTATGAAATATAATATTAACACTTTTTTTTTTAAAAAAAATATTAATTTATAGATCAGTTTTGTTTCCTGTGTATTTTGCAATGGTCTGAAGTAAATCAAAAATGCCCATTATGTAAAAATATATTTCATTCATTTATATACAAAGTTAAATCAAATACAGACTACCAAAGATATATAATCGAGAATAAATCCAAACCAGATAAAACAACAACTACAATTACAACTACCACTACTAACAGCACCAATAGTAATAATTACAATCAACAACAAGCCAATATCAGAAGATTTAATAATAGTCATAATAATAATAATGAAAATTATAATAGCAATTTCAACAATAACAACAGACTGGTATTTCTACCAACTCTGTCCATTACAGAACAGCATAGTTTTAGAAAGAGTGTTTATGTAAAGAACATAAAAGCAATTCCGATGGTGCCACCATTCAAACTCTATTTAGATCCAATTTCAATTAGTGCAAGTTTCAAAACATGGCAAAAGAAATTAAAACCATGGATCAAAAGAGAACTACAATCCATATTACAAACTTCAGATACCGACATACTAGAGGACTTAGTTTTAGAAATTCTCAAAAAGTATAATATAGTGCATGATGAAAAGGTATATGAAACTTTATCAAAATATTTATTTGATAAAACATTACATTTCATTCATGAACTATTATGTTTTGCAACTTCACCTTATAATATGCAAACATATGATTTAAAAGTAATATACGACAAAAGGCAATCATTAGTAAATACCATTAACAATAACAATAATAATAATAATAATAGTAATAGCAATAGTAATAACAACATTAATAATAATATAAAAGAAGAAAATCAAACCAATGATACACAAAATAAAATTGAACCACTTTCAAATATATTACAAAGTACAAACTCACCAATTAAACATATTCCACCATTTTTATCAAATATACTAGCAGAAGAAAAAGAAAGACAAGATGAAGAAAAGGAAATGGCTTTAAAAAGAAAATTAGAAGAAGAAGAGCAGGATAATATAAAAAAGATAATGAAATTAGAAGAACCAGATTTCAATAAACTTCAACAAACAATATTGAACGATAATTCAACTGACCCAAAGCAACTAATAGACTATTTAGATACCAAAATCTCAGACTATCAATATTATATATCACAATTAGAAAATTACAAATCAAAAAATGACAATAATGATATTAACAATAAAAAAAAAACTTTATAAATAAAACTGTATGATTTTATTATTTAATGAAATAAAATAAATAAAAATAGCTTTATAGTAATACACATTATGTTTATTTTATTAATGTAATTATTTAACATAAATTATTCTTTTTAATTTTCTTTGGGTTCGAGTTTTTCTTTTTACTAAATTGATAACCATCAGTTGTAGTTACACCGTCATTATTTGTTATTTGTTTTATTTTTGATACTTGAATTTTCTTTTCAAACTCTGGTAAATTTCTCTTTGCAATTGGGTATCCTTTCTTTGCTGCTTTTCTAATATATTCAATAGCAGTTTTTTGATCGTCATCAAATAAAGACTCGCCATATGAGTATAAAATACCTGGATCTTCAGAACCGTCTTCGATAATCTTTCTTAAAATGGTCAATCCCTTTTCTCTATTCTTTTCAAAACCCTCTGAACCTCTGCAATAATTTAAAGCCAATTTAGCAAACGCTGGTGTATAATTATTGGATGCATTTTCTTCTGCCATTTTATAATATTTAATTGATTCTTCAATGTTCTTTTTACCGCCATGGCCATCATAAAACAAATTACCTAACATTAATTGAGATTCGAGTACAAGTTTATTTTCAATTGATTTTTCTTCGTTAATTTTAATTTTGTTTGGTGACTCTGCTGCTAATTTTAATAATGCTACAGTTTGATCAAATCCCTCGATTGTTGGAATTGTGTTTAATTTAATAGTTGCCAATGAAAAATTAGATTCTGCTGATTTGTTTTCTTTTGCTGCAAGTTCATAATATTTGCAAGCTTCTTTAATATTTTTTTCTCCATATAATAACTTGTGACCGACTTCGCTTCTTAAACGACCTGCAATTGTAATATTAGTATTTTAGTATTGAGCACTAATAGTATTTTGTTTAATTTATATATATACCTAATAAATAATCGAATGGGCAATCCCAAAGTTTGGCAAGATATTCAACTACATCTTTATCGTATTGACTATCTTTAATTAAAATTACTGTAAATAATTCATTTTCGACTTGATTATCTTTAATACCGAATCCGTTTTTATTGATTTGAATTGGATAAGTTTTTAGTAAATTAATTTTATCCATTTCTTTTATATCTATATCTATATATAATACTAAATATATTTATTTATTAAAGTATTAATACAACCTTTGAAGGAAACCAAAAAAATATAAAAATAAAAAAAAATAAAAAATAAAAAAAAAAAATAAAAAAATAAAATTTTATTTTACCAACGAAATTTATTGGCAAATTTCTTTTCATTTTTTTTTTTTGGGAAAAAGTTATTTAAAAAAGATAAACAATAAATAAAATAATCAAATTTATAAATATTAATATTTAATATTTATAAATTTTTTTGTGCTTGATCTCTACAATTACCATTCTAATTTATAATTATAAATTTGATTATTTAATTATAATTATTTTAATTTTGGTATAAAAGGTCCAAAAAAAAAAAAAGTAAATTTTATAATAAATAAACTATAAAAAGGTGATTTAAAGGTAATGCAAAAAAATATTTATATACTATCTCAATAATTTAAAAAAAAATTAATTTTTATTTTTTTTATTTTTTTTTTTTTTAAATTTTATTTTTTTTTATTTTTTATTTTTTATTTTTTAAATTTATTTTTCCCATATAAACCTATATAAACTTTGGTGTGTTTATCTTAGTACTAAATAACCTAATCTTGTAAATAATAACACAATCATAATTATTATCATAATCATAATCATAAAACATAGCACATCACTAAATCATATAAATTAAAATGGGAGATTATTGGATAAACCAACATGAAGATATAGTTAAACTTTTAAATACATTAACAGCAGATATTAAAGAATTCTCATTACAACAAAGAAACAATCCTGGTGTTGCACCAAGAAACTCACCTACAGCATTAAGAAATAACCTAGTATATATATCAACCGAAATTGCAAGATTACAAGATAGTTTAACATATGGAAATTTGAGAATGTATGTTTCAATCATAAAGAACCACATCAACAATCATAAACTTATAATCAGAATCAAAACATTATATAACAATAATATTAATATATTATTTTTTTTAAATATTTTTAGAACCGAACAAGAATTATTAAGAAGAAAAAATAAAGTTGAAAATTTAGTTTCTATTAAAAATCAATTATCAAATACTTTGGATTCTGCTATAAATAATACAAATTCAAAGTATGCATAACTTTAATAAAAAGTTTTTCAAAATCATAATACTAATGTTTAAATTAATATTTAGGAATGCATTATTAGGTGGTAATAATAATAATGGAAGAGCATTTGGACAATTTGGAAAACCAAGAGAAACAGATCAAACAAGACAATTTGACAATACAGCTTTATATAATAATCAAAAAGAAATTATGAAACAACAAGATGAATCATTAGACCTACTTTCAAACTCAATTATGAGAACTAAAAATATAGCATATGCCATGAACAATGAATTAGAAGCACATAACGAAATTTTAGATGATATCGAAATTGGTACAGAAAGAACAACAGTAAGATTAAAAAATACAAATTCTAAAATGGAAGTTATTAAACAGAATGCTGGTAGTACATGTATGATTGTTACCATCGTTATTTTAATTATAATTATTGTTATTTTGATTGCAACTGGTAAGTATCGATATAAATATATTTATTTTATGTGTAATTTAAATTACTAATATCCTTTTTTATATAGACTCTGGCTGTAAAATTTATAATGATCCAAAACATTGCCCATAGATTTAATAAAAACCTAAATAAATTTAATACATATATAAAACAAAATACAAAATAAACCTAAAACCCCAATCCACTAAAAAAAAAAACCAATTAAATAAATTTTAATTTTGTAAACTAAAAAAAGACTGGTTATAGTTTTTTTTATAGATTTTTTTTTTTTTAATAAATATTTATTTTTTATTTTTTATTTTTTTTTATATTTTATTTTAATTGTTTTGTTTTGTTTTGATTTTATTTGATTTAGCCTTTCATTTCAATTGTTTGGTCTTCTTTTTTACAACATGAGAAGAAACCTTGAATCTTTTTAAGGAATTTAGATCTCATTTGTAACCAAGAGATAATGTATGAGGCAATAACAGCAATTAAAGCGATGGCTTGAATAAGACAGGCAATTAACTCACCAGCTGCTGATGGTGATTTAATGTGGGTGAGTGAAAGTGAACAGGTAACTACATTGATGGCAGCTAAAAGATATTCTAACCATAATTGATAGTGGTCAAAGAATGGTTTACGAATGAAAAGAAGGACTGCATAACCAATGAGAGCAGCATCGATAACGATAACTTGGACAATTGGAACAGCAAGATCGGTATTGGTTAATGGTTGGGCGGATAATGGTTTGAATGCAAGAATACCAACGATAACAGCCATAATGAAACGTTTAATAAACATGAAAACAGCGAAACGATGATCAGTCTTTGGTTTAAAGTGGACGTAGAGACAACCGAATTGTTGTTTGAAGGTTGGATGATGGAGACGAGCTTCTGGGACATTGAGAAGGAACCAAATGGCAACTGGTAAACCAATGCCATAGAGAACGAAGATGATAGCACCTGGAATGATAATTCTATAGTCGTTAAGTGGGGTGACCATAGCAAATGAGGCTGCTAATAAAATACCAATATAACCAAATGAAAGAATACGAATGGTAACATGAATAAGACGATTGGTGATAACTTCTTTCCAATGAATGAGTTTTTCGATAAATGAAACAACTAAAAGGGTGATTAATAATGGTACCAAGAAAGCAGCACATAAAAGACCAAACCAGAAGAGAATATTTGGAAGGAGATATAAATCACCTGAACCTAAACTATTTTCATATTGGGCCATTGAAAGAATTGAACGAGTTGGTGTACTTTCTCCAGTCCAAACTTGTGGTGGGTTAATAGCTGGTGGGAATGGAATACCTAAATTTGACCAATCTAAATACTCTGTGAATGAAATGAAACGTCCTGGGAAGACGACACCAATATGTGATACTAATGCAATAAATTGGAATTGATCCATAAGAGTCCAAGCCTTGTGTGAACGTTGATCTCTCCACCAAAGAATAGAAGCTTCTTCGTGGGTGGCTTTTGGATGTTGACCACTCTTGTATTCTTCTTTGTAATCTTTAGAACGTCTAATATCGATTGGAATGGTTGTAGCAATATCAATAATATAAAGAATACCAATACAGCAAATGAAAATAATAGCAAGGGCAATGACACCAATTTCAACATCTTGGTCAAAGAACCAAGTACGACAAAAACCTTCTTTTGGTCCGAATTTATCACCTTCTACACAAACACCATCGACTTCGCACCAACCGCAATCGGCACGAGCAACACATCTTTTACTTGATGTAAGTGCTGGGCATTTTGATTGTGATTCACATGCTTCACCTTCAAAACCTTCATCGCAAACACAAGTAAAATTACCAGTAAGACATGTACCACGTTGATTACAATTATATGGACAGATTTTAATACTACAATCTAAACCACTGAATGATGAAGTACATGAACAACTACCATCATTACAAACACCATTAGATGGGGATGTACAATTATTTAATTCTGCGGTATCACAAAGAGCTACAAAATAAAAATTTTAAATTAATATCATTGCTGCTTTTTTAATTAAAAAAAAACTGATCAATAATTAAAACTTACCTAATTCACAACCATCACCAGTAAAATGTGGAGCACATTCACAAACACCATAATTACAATTACCACGATTTGAGCAAGATAATGGGCAAGTATTTTGATAATTTAAAGTGTAAAGAGCATCTTCAAAGAAGAGAATAATTTCAGAGTTTGATGAATTTACATACATTGAAATTGGACCACCTGAATCGATTGGATTAGTGAGTGAATTTTGATTGCTACCATCTGGGCTAAAACCAATAAGTTGTGTACCACCACTGGTTTCAGTAATAAAGAAAACTTGACCTGCTTCCATATCGACTTGACCTGCAACACAACCTTCACCTTCGATTGAAACTTTTGAAATTAAAACTGGGTCGGTTGGATCTTCATAATTTATAGAAATAACAGCAATAGCACCGTTTTGAGTGTATGTGCATGAATATAAAATAGTTCTTTGAGTATCGAGGGTCATTGCATCAACTCTTAAATTTGCATCAGTTGGAGTGTAGGTTGCAATAAAAGAATTTGAAGCAATGTCATAAATAACAACTTTTGAATTATCACAACCAATAAAAATAACTCCTTTACTTGAATCAATTTTACTATTTATAAAGAAAAAAAAGGTTATTAATTAATGATTGTGAAAAATAGTGAATAGTGTGTTATATCATATGATACTTACATTGAATATACTGTCTCGATACCTGTTGGTAATTCGAGTCTTTCAAAATCAGTATCGATATCAGTGAATGCACCACCTTTAGCTTCATCATATATGAGTAAAACTGGTTGACCATTAACACTGATTTCAGAGCCTAAAATGAAAACCATTTTTCCATATGAAACAGCTCCGCCACTTGGGATTGTATATCTACCATTGTTAATAACAAGGGTGCTTGAACCATCTTTTCCATATTCAAATTTAAAGAATGAACCAATACCAGCTACATAAATGAAATCTTCTGTTTTTGTGGCACCATATGGAATATCTGAGTTTAGTGCGTATTGATAAAAATATGTTTCTGGTGTGGTAGTTTCAGTATCTACAATTGTTTTGGCATCTTGAACTGGAAAAGTAATATAATTAGAATCACCAAATCCTAAATATCTAAGGACACCGTCGATTTCTGCAACTACATCGATTGAAAATTGATAATTGTCACCATATTTATAAGCTACTGGGTCTGAAAAATGATTATCTAATTGTGCATGAATGTTAATTGAAAGAATTCCTATAATAACCCATAAAGTTATTATTTTATAAAAAAACTTCATTTTTTTTATTTATAAAAAAAAAGTGATTAGTTTTTATGAATAATTAATTGAAAAAAAAAAAAAAACTTTGGGGGAAAACCCGAAAAAATTGATTATATGATTTTTTTTTTTCTAAAGTTTTTTGTAATTTACAAAATAAAAATACACAAAATAAACAAAAACTAAATTGTATATATAATAATAATAATTCTAAATGATTAAATAAATGATAATTTTTGTTTTATAAAAAAAAAAAAAAAAAGAAAGAAAAAAAAAAAAAAAAAAGGAAAAAATTTATTTGTTTTTTTTTCCTGCTTATTTGAAAATCGAAAAAATCTTTTTTTTTTTTTTTTTTAAATAATTTAAAAAATAAAATTTTTTAAAAAACCCCCAGCAGTTGAATCCAAATTTAGATTAAATATAAAAATTTTTTATTATTTTGGGGTAAGGCGGAAAAAAAAATTTACCACCCCACTATTTACTTTTTTTTTTTTTTTTTTTTTTTTTTTTTTTTTTTTTAAAATTAATTAATTGGTCCAAAGGCTTTGTGATGAAAAAAAATAAATAAAATAAAAAAGAGTAAATGTGTGTTTTGTGTGTGTGTGTATCTATTATTTTTTTTTGTGTGTATTTGTGTGTGATTAAGATTTACTTTGAGGATTTTTACGGTTATTTTTTTCATGAATATTTACACAGTTTTTTAAATAGTTTCTGAAACTCTTTTGATCACTTCCAACAAGCCACACAAAATAAAATAAAAAAAATTTATAAAAAGATATTTTTTTTAAAATTTATAAACAAAATTGAAAAAAAAAAAAAAAAATATTATAAAAACACAATAAAAGATATCAAATGATTGTATTGAACAAAATTTAAATTTAGAATGGGGATAGTTATAAAAATAACAAATAATTTCAAATAAAATTCAAAAAAAGGAAAAAAAATTTTTTTATTGTTTGATTTTTTTTTTTTTTTATTTTGAAATTTTTTAATTAATTTTTTTATTTTTTTCATTAAATTTACCTCCAAAAAATAACAACAACAAAAAATGATAGATTTCAAAAAGTTAATGCTTGAAGAAAAAAAAAAGATTCTATTAGAGCAGCAAAAACAACAACAAAAACAACAACAACAACAACAACAACAACAACAACAAATAGATAAAACAGAAGAACAAAACAAAATTAATAATAACAACAATAATAATTGTGATCATTGTGATAGTAGTTGTAATAATAATTGTAAAAATAATAATAGTTTTAAAAAAGTTAATTTTAATGAAATCAATATAGAAAATTTTAATAGATTAAAGAAATATCAATATGGATCTATAGAATCAATTTTTTATATTGATGATTTTATTAGTGTTGATGAGGAAAAGGAACTATTGAAGAACATATACAGTGATGATAATAAAGATAAATGGACCCAGTTAAAGAGAAGAAGATTGCAAAATTGGGGTGGTCAACCTGTTTCAAGTGGTATGATTGAAGAACCTTTACCAAGTTGGTTAACAAATATATGTGATAAGATATACGAACATTCAATATTCCCAGTTAAAGCAAATCATGTTCTTTTAAATGAATACAATGTAAATGAAGGTATATTTCCACATACTGATGGCCCATTGTTTTATCCTTGTGTTTGTATATTAAGTTTAAATTCAACATGTAAGCAATTGCCAATTTTGCAGCATATAATTTTTTTATAGCACCCCAAATGTTTATATACTAATAAATACATAAATAGGTTTAATGGATTTTTATAAAGAAATTAAAAAAGAAGCAATTCAAAAAATATTTTTAAAACCAAGATCACTTTTAATTTTTACACAAGATGCTTATAAAACTTATTTCCATGGTATTAAAGAGTCATTTTCAGATTTAATCACAGAGAATGTTATAAATAAAAATGACACAGATTTAAGGGTTGGTACAGAAATAGAAAGGGATATTAGACTTTCATTGACTATTAGAATAGTTCCAAACACAATTTCAAATAAATAATAATATAAATAATTATTTTTTTCAAAACAGATATTTTATAATTTTTTTTTTTTTTTATTTTTTTAAAAGATTTTTTGATTAAAATTTCATTTTTTTTTTTTTTAATAATTTTAAAAATGCAATATTTTAAAAAGTATTAACATTAATTTTTATCTAATAATATGGATAGGTTATTTTATAAAGTTTTTCATAATACGTACTTGTTTAAAACTATACTTGGTTTTATTCAAGAAGTCGAATGGGTCAACTATGACGATCCATCACAAATAACCAGTAGTAATAGATACAGATTTAAAGATATAGTGTCATTAAAGTGGATGGTGCAAAATAAAATGTTTTCATTATTAAAGTGCAAATTAGAGGCAAATGAATACATATGCATGGATCATTTTTTGGGTGAATGGCTTAATCAACTAGATAATAGAGTGGAAATATTCAAATACTTGATGACATCTTTTTAAAACAAAATAATAACAACCATGATCTCATAGAAGGGTTTAAAAACAAATCAATTAAAAAAGCATTTGAATCAAGTTATTTCGAAACAGACTTATTTTTAGAAATTTTATTATCAAGTGATCAATATTATAATATACCTATACCAACTTCCAGTTCTCCAACAAAAAAGGTTTATTTAGAACAAATATTATTTGATATTCAATCAATAGAGCTTCAAAAAAAATTAATTGATTTAAATTATTATACATACTCGGACCAATCATCGCCATATATGCATGAGATCGAGATGATGATCAACTTTAACTGCAACGAGGCCGAAAAAATACCCAAGTTATTTACTTTTTTCAAAAAGAATAGAATCAATACAGGGTGTATTCCTTCAAATTTAATAACAGATATAGAGTATTTGAAAATTTATTTAACAAATAACAAAGGTGATTGAAAGGGTAACGATGAAGAGGTATATAGCATATTGGATTATTTAGTATCACGCGGTTCAATAGAATGTGCTTTTAAAGCATTGGATCTATTTTGTCCACAAATTACATCAGTTTATTTAAAAAATACTCTTTCGAAATATATAGATTTAAAACCATCTACAAGTGACGATTATAGGATACTTTCATCATGGATCAAGTTATTTATAGAATGTATTAAAAAAAGTTCGGTAAACAAGTTAAAAATTTTCCTAAATCATTCAACCCCATTTCGTAATAACCTCTCGTATATAGGCCATTAATATAATTTCGAGCACCCTTTCCAATGTAAGAGAGGGTCATTTCACCACCAATATTTTTAAAAATAAAATAAACACCACTACTTTCAAAATTTTCAATTATTAATTATTTGACGAACACACATTAAATCACCATTTCCAAACCATTGCTCATTTTGAATATTTTGAAGTTTGTGTTTGAGGTTCAAGAATTCCAACATAGTGTGAAGAGTGTATTCTTGAAATAAAAAAAAATAAAAAACATAGTTTAATAAAAAATTCTTTCATTGTTGATACAAAAAAAAATAATAATATATATATTTTTTTTTAATTTATTTACTCCTTAAATAAAAAAAATAAAAAACATGGTTTAATAAAAAATTCTTTCATTGTTGATACAAAAAAAAATAATAATATATATTTTATTTTAATTTATTTACTACTTAAAAAATATATATACTTAATAATACACAAAACTTAAAAAATAAAAAAAATAATAAAAGGATAAAAATAGTTCACCCTTTTTGTAATTTACAAAATAATTTAAAAAAATAAAGAGATAAAAATAGTTCACCTTTTTGTAATTTATAAAAATAATTTAAATTTTTAATTTTTTTTTAAATTAAAATTTTAATTATTATATATTTTATTATTGTTATATTTTAAATATACAAAAAAATTAATATTTATATAAAATGGGTGACTCAAATAAAAAACCCCACCCCAGCCACAATTATACATTAGATTCCTTTCTTTCGGATGATGATTTTCTTTGGAGTAATGTTTTTTGTATGGGAGGTTGCACAGAAGAATGTCGTCAAAAATATATAAAAGCACTGGAAGAATTATCCGATGCCATAAAAGCACATATTAACTTAATTAAATCTTTAAAAAAAAATGAAGATGGAACCCTTCCTTCTTTTTATATGGGGGATGTCTATGCTTGTTGTGAAGGTAACTTAGACCCAAGAATGAATTATAATCTAAATATTCAAGATTTATTTAATGTTAATTTGCAAGACTTGGATTTCCCTAATTTGAAAAAGGGAAATTCCAATGAAAAACAAAGGGAAGAAAATAAAAATTAAATAAAATTTTTACCAAAATTTAAAAAAGTCTTTCTTTTCTCTTTTTATAATTTATTTTCTTCAGATATAATATTTTGTTGTGTGTTATTTTCATATTCTACCGGCATTATTGATGGATTTTCACCATTACCAATTTTTTTAATTGCCTCATTATATTTTTCTATTTGGTTATGCAAACCTATCGTAAATTACCATCGGATCCGATTCTATCATCTTTAATGGAGAAAAAATGTCTTCTCTCTTGAAGCCAGAGCATAGTATTTTAACAGTATCAAGACATCTTGAAAAATTAAATAAAAATGATCTCAGAAATTCGACCAATGTTAAAAGTGGAAGTTATCTCAATGGTGAATCATCCTGCAAATTAGAATCAGAACTTTTACCAAAGGGTAATAAAAAATTCACACTAAAAGATACTCAAATTATCATTGACCAGGAATCAATTATTATTATTAATAGCGACGAAGATTCTGCAAAAATTACTTTTAATAAAAAATAAAAAATAAATAAAAAACAACATAATTTTTTTAATTTATCGAAACTTTAAAATTTTTATTTAGTTTTTAATATTTTATTTTGAGAGGACCTTATCCATCACAATGACACCACCCAACGAGAAAAGACCAACACCAGCAAAAAATGTCGGATCTAAAATATAAATTTCATCAAGGGAGAAAATAAACCAACCACCAGAAAAAGGGGATAAGTTTTATTTAATTTTTTGAGTAATAATAAAATGGGCTGTCTGAATGAAAATAGCTATCTTCGTTTAGGGAGTAATAGTGTTCTTGATTGCAGTAATATTCATCATCCATGAAAGTGTGCCAAACAAATGTTTGTTTTGGGACCGTTAAATAGTCAAATAAACTGGCATAAGCTTGGTCCATGTAAGTATTTTCGGTATTTAAAATATTTGAATTTTTATATCTGGATAACAATTGTTTATTTAAAATTTCAATATTAAATTTTCCAAAGCCATCGGATTTATTTTTTTTATATGATTACCAATATACACATTACACAGGAAATTAAGGTG